AAATTCCTGCATACTTACTTAATTCTACTATAGTCCAAATCCCAAACAAAAAAGGCAAAACTTGACCTTCAAACCTTATAGAGATCTTAATATGGTTTTTTATATTTTAACACTTGTGACACTTGGAGTTCTGAGACAGGTAAACCTACACAAGGTGGAGCTGCCTGGCCCCTCCATGGACCATGCTCAAATGCAGCAGAAGACATTGGGCAACAGAACGCCCCATCCTGGCATTCTTTGAGACCTTACTCCAGGGCTACTGGACTGTCCTAGCCACCAGAGAGTGGGTAAGTCATCCTAAGTAATAGCCCTCATAGGAAATGTTGACACTGCCAGATTCGTCACCGACAGAAAATCGCTGCTGAAGACTGAGGAAGTTCAGGGCAACAACAGCCCCCTTTAAGGTGTCCGTCTCAGATTCCAAGTCGCACTACAGTCTCAGGTAAGACATTCTCTATATTTGTGGACATAGAGGCCATATATACAGAGTTCTTCCTGAGTATTCAGGCTGCTATATTAAGTCCTCAATCTCTATCATGGGGTATTGATGGTCAACCTATGCCATTTACAAACAGGGCCTATTTTGTGCAGGTCCCAGTCCTAAATCTTAAAATGCCTTTTATACAGGCTGACTTAGACACACTGAGGCCTCAACAGCTTCCACCTGTTGTCACTGGTGGACCCTTCCTCAGTGATATAGACCACCACCCTTCCTATCTTATTCACCAATTTCTCAGGTACCCTGGTCAAGACTCTCAGATACATTTTTATCTTCTCACTTGGTTTATACTTTTTCAGGATACATAAAAGCCTTTCTCATACTTGCTAAAGTTCTGTTACAGCAAATCATTCCAAGGACTACAACCAAGTTGCAGCGACCCATGCTTAAATCAAAGTTGCTAGACTGCCATTCTGGTTTCACATCACTCAGGCTAAGAGGTGCCCTTCCAGCCCTAAATCTGATCATTCTGAGTGGTCACCTCATCTTCTGTCGCCTACCCGTCTCCGTCTCACAAAGGCCTTGCAGCCACAGTTAACGGGCTAAGTCATGTTTTGTTATTCATTTTGGTTCCCAATTTCTTACATTCTATTAATGATCATTTTTACAGCAGGACTCTTTAACAGTATTGCCTACAGACTGCAACATCATGCATACCAGAGACAAGCCTCACCAACCTACCGTCTTAACTTTTATGCTTTCAGATGGGGGAGTAAGCACCTCTCATAACTCCACTCCTCCTAACCCCACGTTTAATTTTCAGAATTCTGCCTTACCGTGGAAATGTTTCTACCTCAACATGGTCCTGATAGAATGATAAGTCTAAATCAAAGGCACCTTTCCTTCTACCTCACCTGGGTCCTTAAATATGACAGTGCCATGTCTCCTCATAACATTTTGTCTCTTTGTTTTTCCAGTGTGACATACGTGCATTCACCAGTGAAGTTGTCCTGGCTAAAACACCTGGCAGCAGCGTCTACCTGGGCATCAACCTTCATCCTGTCGACTCCCCTAGGCTCCAGAACAGCGCCCTTTGCCAGCAGGAAGTAGTTAAAGAGAGAAATCTTCGCCCCTTTTCATAATAATAACCATAAGACGGGATATGAAAGGTTTTGGCCCAGACAGGACACTGTAGCCAGGAAAGCCACAACCGGAAGCAGGAAGCCCCATCTTGCCCTGCCCCTAGGAAGTTACCTGTGACGCCATCTTCCCGCCCCTGGGAATTTACATATGGCGCCAAACCTAGGACCAATGGGCTACCTGTGTATCCCTAATGCCCGCCTTAGGTTCCACCCCAAACCGAGGCTATTTACAGGCCCCCACGCCAAGTGTCCACCGGAGAGATCGCCGGACGCCAGCGGTGGGGTTGCCGGTCATCTCTCTCCGTGTTCTCAGAATAAAGGCCGCTTTTTATTTTATATTTCTCATCTTTTGTTAATATTTTTCATCTTTTGGAAATAACTCTTATCAGTAGGCCCCTCTGGGACAGTCTGACTATGCTTCCTGAGCAAATAGAATAGCTCTGAAGCAAAGCAGTGACATGGTTAGGTGCTCAGAGGAAAGATGTTGCTACATTTCAGCTAGCAACCACAAAAGATAGAGCTAGTTATTGTGGAAAGCAGCATTATATACATACATGAGCACTAGCACATACACAGGTGTATAAGATAGCCACCTCTAGTAGATGTTAGGCTTTTCCTAGGTGCAGCAGAGAAGCAAGAGCAGAAAAAGGAGAAAAGGCCTTTATTGCAGGAAGGGCTGCAGAAGAGTGCAAGATCCTTCCAAGGCAGACAATGATGCAGCAGGCTTTTATTTGGTTTGACAGAGGGTGGAGTTTGAAGGGGCGGGAAGAATCATGTATTGACAGTTGATTCCGGGAATGTTAGCTTGCGCGCGAGAAGCCGGAAGTTCAGTTTCAATTTAGAAGAACACGGAAGTGAACATTGGAGGAATACACTGTCCCTCTAGGACCCATTGCTATGTTGGGCAGGCACCACGCTGAGCCTAGCAGAGCTTCACAGGCGCAGATAGAGCCTTTCTAGGTTCTAATTACAACAAGAAAGCTTTTTTCCCCCAGTTCTTACATAAATCTCACTATTCTTCGTGGACTGTGGCATTTCACAACCTCCCTCCCACTGTTTTTGCCATTTCAAAATATTCAGTGAATGTGAACTGAAGACTGAGTGTTGGAAATTTCTTGTAGCTGTATAAAGCAAGACCAACCTTACAGTTTAAATAAACTAGATTATAAACTTAGTGTGACCTGGAAGGTAACAAAAGCCCTGCCCTCTCAATGCACGCACATACGCACACACGAATGCACGAACTCACCTGCATGATACTGTGTATATATTCATATACCAGTGCAAACACACACACTATCCCAGTGGCTCCTTGCGTTGTTTGCAATTTGATCACCATGGATATAGATTGTTTCAGGTTAATCAGTCACTTCATTTTAAAGGCAAACATAACTAAGTAAATGAGAAGGCCATAAGTCCCTTTATCCTGGTAAGTTATAATAGAGCAGAGCTTCCTAAATAGGTTCCAAGTGTGATGCAAGATATTGCTGGTAAATTTCTTATACTGATAAAACACTTCCAAATATTTTTAAGAATTGTGTAAAAACTCTTGAATTTAAATTTTAACATTGTTTATATAACTTCCTGTGTAAACATCCTGAATTCAGAAATTACTACTGCAGTTAAGAATTTACTTGTACCAACCTACCAGTAGAGGGCGCCTTGTCCTGTTTATGCCACTGAACACTTCCTTAAACTGTGTCCCACAGGCATTGTAAATTTTTTACTGTATATTATGACAGGAAAAGATCACAAGTATAGTTCATCATGCTATTGATTTATTTATACAACATCAACCATCACTTGGTGTTATAAAAAATTTCTGCATCAGAAGAAACAGGAAAAATCATAAAAACAGTCAAATTAAGTACATTTAACATTAGGGAAAATGCACATTGTTTTATTTCTTTCATTTTGCCAAGGACCTAAAAAATGAGCCTTAAGTTAGTTGGAAAACAATACAAAGGAAATATCTGATAGGAGAAATTGGAGATCAATATTGATCTCTACTGTGTTGGGACAACTGTGATACCAGTGCCATTTAAATCCACACTGTACTTTATGCAACCTAACTTTTAAAGTTATGTGCATTTCTTACCTATCCCATGTGAATCAGAAGGCATAGCCAAAGAGCATCTGAAGTTTAATTAGAGGTAAACATCTTGACAAAAATGCTAGTAAAGCACTATGCTTGTATTCCAAGGGTCCAGAAATTCAATATTTCTATTTGAGGAACTCAGAAGTAAAAATAAATATCTAATCAAACAAATTGAGGTTGAGTGCTAGGTGCTACAACAAATCTATGTACAAGATCTAGAGCTACAGAAGGAAAATCATGGTACAGTTATTACCTGCAGTTGAGGGAGCACTTGCCATGTTTCTGAAGCATGGAGGGATCATAAAATGACCTCCGAAAAGGACTCAGATTTCTCAGTAGCCACTTTGTTTGCCTGTGGAAGCCTTTCTAAACAAGTTGGATTCCAAAATAGCTATCATTCCTTTTAACTTTTAATTACACTGGAGCAATGCTTTTCTTTCCCCTCTTATCACAGAACTTCTGCGAGCCCTCTCTGTCTGCCTTATGCAAGGAATTGTACTTGATTCGATATGGGTTTGGTAATATACCTTTGATTTAATGTGGTGGGAGCCTTCTTGCAAGTGGAAGTTAACTTATAACTTAGTAGATTAAGAAGTGTTCTACCTGTTGCTATGAGAATAGCCAGGCAAGAACACTGTACCAGGAGGCCACAGGCAAGATCTTTTTTGGATGACTGGTTTGCTTCCTCTTACTTTCAGCAATGAAATTTGGCCTCAGGTATTATCTGTTGGCCCAGGCTTTTTTGTTATCATTAAGCATGATGCGAGCTTCGGCCTCACTTGGAAACACACCTGGGATCTGCTTCTAAGTCAGATGTATCTATAAGAGTAAGAAAAACCATAGCAGTTGTTTGTAATAAAAAATACTACATAGAAAAAATGCATTTTAAAGATACTCTGGTGTTCTTTTTGGTATCTTTGGTGTGATCTTTACATGTTGATTGGTGACATCATGAAGATTAATAACTGCTTAGTAGATACATGAACTATTTCAATTTTCATAAAAATGTCTTAAGTTTCACAACAACAGCATAGTTTTGCATGAGAGGAATTTTTATTTTTGTTTATTATGAAAGCATGCTATTTTTCATCCAAAAGTCATCCAAAAGGATATTTTTCCTCTTGTGATTAATAATAACAAAGAATAATTTATAAAACACACTGACAGTTACTGATAATCCCTAAGAAACCATACTGTAAGTCGTAAGCCTGTACTCTCACAAAGCACATAACAGGTGTCCCCACTCCCTGTGTCCTTTGTATACACATCATTCTGTATTCAAATCACAGGAGCAAGAGGCAGGATAGGGTCTGTTACCTCACAGCTAATTTCCCTAGCAAATAAACCAGCAGATGCTGGTCCACGAAACGAGTTACCACTGAGAACAGGGCACTGTGTGCATGGGGCAGGATGCTCTCATGGAGCCCCACAGCAGCACTGCTGGGATCTTCCAGTGCAAAATAAGCCTCCTCCTTTTCTTCCTCCTCCTCCTAGGTAAGGCCTTGAAGAAATTACACTTCGGGTGTTTGAATTTTAGTTAAGTTTTGTTTTGTTTTGTTTTTAGTTGTGGGCATAAGGTAAATATTTGCCTTAGGGTGTAGATTTTTCTCAGAAAATTGAAGAGCAGGTGAGTATCTTTTAACATTAACACAATGTTCCAGCAACAAATCAATAATATTTAGGAGAAATTGGGTTCAATAGGTAGATGGCTACCATTTTCTTAGGACAACAATTATTGTCACCAGCAGTCATTAAGAAAGTTAAGGCATTAGAAAAATAGAATGAATTTTTAAACAGTGTTTATATATAGGTTCAATAGCTTTAATGCATTTATTTTGGCAAATTTAATTAGACCATGGAATTGTTAATGCTTAGAATGAGACTTAACAATCTATAGGAGTGGTTTTCTTTTAATTAAATATATTTAATTAAAGATACAGTTTAAAAGCTATTGTTGTAAAGGGTTGATTCTGCTTTATTTTAAATTACCTATTACACTGTAAAACATGGGAAAAGGTCTTAAATCGACAAAGGAGGTAACTATGTTAGAAAGGATTATTTCTCTAATGTCTTTGGCTTTCCTTTGCCCATCATCTAGTCCTACTAATTTTTTGTAGCTTAATTTTTGTTCTCATCCTCCTCTTTCTCCTTAGAGTTTAAAGAAATCCTCCTTTAACATTCCCACTGTTTATATCCACCAACATTATATTCACCAGATATTCTCTTTTTCATTCTTTCTATTTATAGATTTTTAAAAGTCAAGTTAGTTCTTTGTTTTGTTTACATTCAACAGATGAGAATTCAAAAAAGGATTTATTCTTTAAATTAAAGAACAAATTAAACTATGTAAGCAATTTCAGTTTTAGGCTTTCTCATTTATGTGAAGCTTTACCTTCACTAATGTAGTTTGTTGCAATTACCATGGTAAGTGTACTTTTTTACTTGTTTTTGTCAATTATATCTCTCACATATGAAATGTGCAATCTATAAATTTTTAAAGTGTTTGAGTTTCCTGTAGTTGTGTTCTGTAGTTGTTTCTGTTATTATAGCATTTGTTATCAAATTTAAGCCTGTGGTAGATTTTCATTTTTTTAAATTTCTGAAAAATTTAACTATCACCATACTGTGATATTTTTTAACTTTGAAAGTATATTGTGTGAGTGTCCTCCCTATTTTTTACTTTAAAACAATAAAACTCATTTTATATATGCTGTTTTTCAAAATAAGCTTTAGAAAAACTTACAGACAATACAGTTGAGAAATTTGACTAAAATAAAATTAAAGTATATTTCAGAGGAATCACATATCCATAGTTAACACCATTGTTGTATCTCAAAACTGTCTTTCTATGCACTGTCTTACTTTTCACGACAGGTATTTTTTTTAAAGATTTAAGTAATATGGAAACTTGTCTTTTAGCGATATTGAATTTTGTTGCTATCTCCTTTATAAAAATACCTAAAAATTTGAAACCTAAAATATATGGCTCAGCTTTTCAAAATACAACTTCATAATTTCTATTTTCTTCAAAGGTGCAATGGTTTATTTTCAATCAGCAGTGTTTGTTTTATGCTCGCTAATGCCATGCATGGTGATGAGGAAATAAATGTCAACTATTTTAAGCTACAGCAGAGGTCATTTTGTGAAGCCTTATGATTATGTTCAATACAATGAAACTGGTCTAGAAAGTCCTTTGTTACTGGAATAGTACATCATCAAATGTTCTTTAATATTGTATACTTTTTTAAGATACTGTTATTATGTATCTTAAGAGCCTCTAAAAGAGAAATGAGTGCTATAATTTTTATATCCCTGATTATAAATGGAATTATCATTCTCTTTAGATTAGTGCTACTGCCTTAGATTCAAAAATCTGTCTTCCTTTTTTTTCTCAGAAAGCATCAATAAGTGTAACGAATTTTAATCTGTTTAAAATATTTGGAGTATTAAGGGGCAGTTAAGACTTCATTAATTTTATAGTGTTTACTTTCCTGAAGTTTAATTGTTCTTATAGAAGATGTATTTCTAAAATCACCAGTTTTAGTTCTTTGGGTCTTTTTTTTTAAGAGTAGGAAAAATTTGCTGTGGGAAAGAAAGCTTCTATCTGAAAGGGAGAGAAGGGGCCCAGAAAGTGGGATGTCTGCCAACCCTGCTTCTGAAGGGTGTTTATTGAGCAAAACCACAAGGAGAGGAAGGCTTGTAATCAGTGATATTTCAAGTATAGTCATTTAGGTAATACTGATCCAATGGCAAATCATAGGATGGGTATGAAGTGACACAAAACTATCATCCACCAAAATTATACAGCAAGTGTAGTTCCTAAGGTAATACTGATTAAATGGGGATCAAATGGGGAAACAAGTCACATAGAAAGCGTACATGAGAAGGACAAAGACTTTCCTGGAAGGAGTGGGAGGTTTTGGTCCTCCACCAAGGTAACCGACACATATGTGGAGTATCAGTTGCTGTTCTTCATCCCTAGAAGTATAGGAGTAAGTAGTTCTTTTTCTTGAAGCCTGGCCTTCAGAGAGTAAACCTCCAGCCACCATTCTCTTCTATATTGATGTTTCAAGGGCCCACATTTGTCTGACTGTCTAAAGTAGAAAAGAGCACTTGAAAATCTCTGAAAATGCCAATTTACCTAAAATTAGTAAACTAATGTGTTTGCCAGCATGAATTTGTCACATCTATAGTGGAAATCATAGTGGCAGGAGTACTATTATGAAAATGTAGGGAAAGCATCTGACTGTCTGCTTATATTCTAAACTTTATCATAAGGATTATGTCATGTCAATAAGTTCATAACATCCCAGAAAAAAATGCATAGATTTTTAGGTACCCGAAGTAAGATAGTCTTTAAAGAAAAATTGGTTCTGCACTGCATTTTAAAAATTTGTTTCTATTATTTATTTCATAAAAATGGTGTAGGCATTCTAGGAGTTGTGCTGTCACTGTCATGCACACATTTGATAAGAAAGCATATATGTCTGAAATACTTTTATCATTTCCTATGGAAACACTGGATATATTCGGAGATGTCAATATCAATATATTATTTAAGGTATTATTACATAGTACAGTCTTAATGAAGTAGATTCCCACCATCACTTTAAACAATCATAAATGCCATATAAAGTGTAATTTCCGGGGTTGTGGATTTAGCTCAGCGGCATAAGCACCTGCCTTGCAAGGGTGCAGTCATGAATTCGATCCCTGGTACCGATAAAAAAAAAAATGTAATTTCCTACTGAAGTACTCTCTTTTTCCTTCAGGATGCAATATTTGCATTATATTTAATATTTTATTAAATAAAATTTTCTCCTTACAACTTTACTTACAGACCTCCTAACTAGTCTTTTCATAGTTAAAACCTAACTATTCTGAATCAAGAAAAGTCAGCAACGTTTCCATTCCGTAGTCAACCTGCAGTAGTGAGGTGCTTCCCAACCATTTCCAGAACGTTACTTAAATCCCAGTCAATCACCTTCAACTGCCACTACAAAGAATGTAGACTAAAAGGGTTTCTTCCTTTAAAAAGCAAAACAATACAAGGCTTTCCCCAACACCCCAAAACAAAACACAAATCCTTCTATAACAAGTTCTCCAAAGGACAAGAACGGATGAGCTGAAATTGCATCTAGGCTACCTACTTTGACATCTCAGTCTAGCTGTAGTTTCTAGGTTGATCTGTGACATGCCTTAAATGGACCAGGAAGTCAATGGCAAAACTGCTCCCTGTGGGAGGTAACTATCTCATTTTATGTCAGCAGCCGTGCAGCTTTTCCCAGTGTGTTCTCAAAGCATTGTGAGTTCCCAGCACGTCATTCATAATATCCAGGGCACACAATTTAATAAGGAGACTAGAAACTGAGATGCAATACTGTAAAATTCTCTGACCCCTTCAACTTCTACCTAGCTGCTACCCTCAGAAAATCACCTAAGGGTGTCATGACATAAACATTTAGAGATTAAAGAAAGGCCTAGACTACAACTAATATTGATCTTTTTTCACAAATTAGATAACAGGCCGAGATATAAAGTATCTTATCTAAGGTTACAAAACAGACTAATTACTATTTTTTCCTAATGTGTGGCTTTTACTGAGACTTAATGCTTCAGTGGATTTTTTCCTTTATCAAAATATCCAGTCTTGTAATTTCACTACAAGTTTACAGAATAGATTCCTAAATACCCTTATTTCAGGGCAATTTACACGTGACAAGTTTAATACTAACTAATAGGTAGAGACAGAGAATCCAAGACTAAAACTGAGTTGTGAGATTCTCATAAATACTTTAATTTTCACTCAAATAAAAAGAATACAATAATGCACACAATAGTATGTATCTTGAATCAGTAATGATGAATATTTAAAAACTAGTTTTTATTCATTGTTTACCAGGAACTTTTCACTAGCTTCTTGTCTCCTATTTAAGTGAAAAACATGTGAATGATTGTTTTGTGCACAAGACACATACGCTAGAAGAAATCTTTTCCTGTTCTGCTCCCATCCAAATGCCCAAAGTCTTTATAAATCTATGATTTCAAGACTCAGCCTCTGATTCAAATTAGATGTCACTGGTTGTCTGTTTTTCAGTACTGGGGATTGAACAAAGAGCCTTCCAACAGACCTACATCTCCAGCCCCTCCCCACTTTTTTTTTTTGTTTTATTTTGTTTTTTTTTTTTTTTTTGGGGGGGGGACAGGATCTTGCTAAGTAACAAAGTTGCCCAGGTTGACCTCAAACTTGGAATCCTCCTGCTTCAGCCTCCCAAAGTGCTCGTACTTATAGCATATGCCCTCACACCCATTTGGCATTATTAGTTTCAAGACGCTGATTTACTTTATCATCTTCCTTACTTATCATTTCCCGGTGAAAACCACTACTTCTGAAATTCACTTTATCTTTTCTACGGATTTCCCAGTACATAGTTCCCTCTTTTTGTAATCACTCATATGAAGGACAAAAACTCCACATTTAACATTCTTGAACTTACCAGAACAGAATGCAGAAGCAAAACATTCATACCTTTGTAATGCCTGGGATATGAACAGATCACTAAAAGGAAAGTACAAGTATAGTCTGTTATCAGAAAAAAATTATGTTAACCACAAGTACACACAGAGACCAAACAAGCTGTATGACAAAGTCTGTTTCCCTATAGTCATGCATTTACATCCTGTTAGTTGGTTTCAGGTCAATGTCTAGGAATCTGTTTTCTTTATAACCTTCTCTTCTCTTCTGTGTTTCTTCTCCAGAATTGTTAGCTCTAACTTTCCTGAAAGCCCCCAACCTCTCACTGTGTACTTATAGCCTACCACAGGTCAAAACAATGGAAAGCTTTGCTCCCACCTCTGCCTAGAAAAAGAAAAAGAGAAATTTACAGTTGGTCAGATTTGATTCTTCTTCGAAGCAGTCCTGTGTGTTTGAGTTTCTCCAAAAATAACTTCATGAAAGACAAAGAGACTTTTTCCTTCTTTGTATCAATGATCTTCCATATTATGATCTAATGAAGCTTAAGGAGTCCCTCTTTTTGAGAACAATAAAAAGAGAAAGCAATCAACAGAACAAGTACTTTGCATGTGAGAAAATTAAAATTGTAAAATTTCTCCTTTTGTGCCTAATTTCTGTCCTGTCTGTTCTCCACTTCTTCAACATTTCCCTTTCTAGTGGCTCTACCCTAATAGCTAAAAACTAGTTTCACTTTTACAAGCCTGCCCAGCTCCCACCCCATATGTCTGCTTTCTTCTCCAGCAAACTCCTCCAGAGTGTCTACTCTCACTGTTTCTACTGTGCATTCCACTCTCTTTTTTCTTTCTTCCTGTTCAAAGTACTTCACATTTAAATTTCTCCCTCTTGCCCCCACAATTTCAAACATTCCTATGATGGAGAGACCATTTTCTTCTTTTAAAATGAAATGAGCTCTAAGTGCTTTGCTTGCATTTAGAGTTCCAGAAATATGGTAGTCTGAGCTGAGGAAGACTCTCTTTTCAATACAAATGCATAGAAATACTAAATAACCTTAAACAGTGTATCATGGTTTAGTATAAAATAGGTCTATATCCAAGGTACCAGAAACTATAAAGAAAGCTGCAGACATGAGACACAACAGCGACTTCTTGGGCCTAAACTATCTTGCACAGCAGGGCTGTGTAGTAAACAGTGCTCTGTGCCCGGGGCTGTCCAGGCCTCTAACTCAGTCCCAAACACTCTACTCTCCGACATTTATCTCCAGTTTACACACGCAACACTTCTTCTTGGCTTTCTATGGATGTCTCAAAATGAACAAGCCCAAACCTGCCCCCTGATCTTCCCCATAAAAACCAGTTTTCTCACCACGATGAATTTATTAGCTATGACTCCATTCTTCTAGTTCATCTAAGTCATAACATAAAATTGCTGACTGCCACCCTGGTCCACCCAATGCTGCATCATCTCCTGTCTGTTTTGTTGCAGTTGTTTCCTAAGTAGTCTCTCCTCCGTTCCTGCTCTTATCCACAGTTCAAAGCTTTGTCATAGCAACTGAAGTGAGTCTAATAAACATAAAAGAAATCGCCAGTCGCATTTTTCACTTCAGAGTAAAATTGCCAGTCTTACCCCTGTTTCTGTGGTCTCGCCCCACCTATCCTGGCCCCCTTACTGACCTCAAAGCTTGCTGAGTTCCTTCTCCAGCCTGTTCACCTGCTACTCTCCTTCACTGCTCCTCAAGCATGTCTCATTCTTCTTCTGGGCAAGAATGACTTGTTGTGTTGGTAATAGTTTAATACCACTCTTCTTGAGTTATTTATATTTAGCAAAGTTTTGGTTAAAAGGAAGACTTCCAAAAAATGGAATGTTAAGCCACTTCAGAAGCTTTGGGAAATTGCTTTGGGAAGGGAGTAACCCACCTGTATCTGAAATTACATAGTTTGAGGAGGATAGAGTTTGATACAGACATTAATGTAGTCATAATTACAAATGTTTCAGTGGTTTCACTGGACTTTAGAACTAATCATCCTTTTCTGCTTTCTCTTCCCATTATTCTTCAACAGTCAAGTTAACAACTTCTGCTTTTCCTTTTCATCTTGCGTTTAGGGAAGTCATGCAGTTGGCATAGTCTTTGGGTGGAGTTTTTAAAATGCAGGTTTCACAGGCAAATATTTACTTCTACCTGTAACTGGTACTAGAATGGTCAGTACTTAGAAGTCTCTCTTCTCTAGAAAGGATTATCATCAGATCGCGTTCTCACAGCAAGTGCCTCTTTGGATTGTGAAATGTGGCCCAGGATCTTCACAGCTTTCCTTTCCTTTGTAGCAGGTTCTTGCTTGGGACTGAAGGTGACAGTGCCATCACACACTGTCCATGGCATCAGAGGTCAAGCCCTTTACCTCCCGGTGCACTACGGCTTCCATACTGTGGCATCAGGCATCCAGATCATATGGCTGTTTGAGAGACCCCACACAATGCCCAAATACTTACTGGGCTCTGTGAACAAGTCTGTAGTTCCTGACTTGGAATACCAGCATAAATTCACCCTGAGGCCGCCCAATGCATCTCTGCTCATTAATCCACTGCAGTTTGATGATGAAGGTAATTACATTGTGAAGGTCAACATTCAAGGAAATGGAACGCTATCCTCGAGTCAGAAGATACAAGTCACTGTCGATGGTGAGTCTACTCTGACTATATATGGCAAGCTAGTGTGGAGTCAGCAGAGGCCCAGGACTCTAACGTTGGTGGGCTTTAGGTTCTGGCCATGTAACTTTGGATGAAGTAATTAAGTCTCAAAGCCTCAACATCTCATTACACTAACAACAGTATTATCTATTTCATGAGGCTTTCTGAGAATTAAATAAGACATGTACATGAAGGGATATGTACAGTGTCCAGCACTATTTGTATGAGAATTAGTTCAATGATCATGCATAACAGCAATAAAAGTTTCCGGAAATGTGTTCTAAAGAATGAGGTCAGTTAACTTTCAGATGTTAATTTTTCTAAGTAAGATGAGTAAATGATATACCTTAAATACACTGCACCCAAAGTCCAACTTCTGATTTTTTTCTCTAGACCTATTCATTTGACAGTATTTCTCATTGTAGTAAATATTAATTCAATTTTATCAGTTGCTCAGGCCAAAATCTTGCAATCATCACTGACTCCTTTTCTTTCATCCCACATCCAAGCCACAGGAAAATCTGTTGGTATTACCTTCAAAATGTAGAAGAAATTGAACCACTTCTCACCAGAGAAGGTTACTGTCCCACTGGATACCACCAGCTGTGGCCTAGACTATTCTAATAGCCGACCATCTGGTCTCTCTGCTTCTGCTCCTGCAGCTGAAACTACTCCTGGCACCTATTTGAATACACAGCACCAACTCATCCCATTGTTACCTCTACCCTGTCCCTTGCTCTTTTCTGGCCATGAGTCTTGCTCTTCCTTGAGCCTGACAAACACACTCACATCTCAGGACCTTTGTACCAAGTGTTTAATCTACTGCGATGGATTTTCTTTCTGATATTTCTCTTTTTTAATTTAAAATTTCAGCCCAAATATTACATTATCTGTGAAGCCTCTTCTAACTGCAATGTATAAGCTATAAACTCACTTCCTCAAACATTCACACCATAAAGTCACAAAGTCACTAGCTTCCATTCTGTTTTTCTCTTTTTTTGTAGCATTTATTACCATCTGGGCATACTGCACATTTGTATTTATCTATTGATTCTCTTCCCTAAGTAAAATACAAGGTCCATGGGAGTCTGGACTTCGCACTGTTTGTTACTTTGTCCTCAACACCTAAAACCGTGCTGCTCACGAGTATACTCTGTAGCCATCTGCAGGTTAGTAAGTGGCAGCCGTGGAGACAGTGCTGCAGGGCAGCAGGGACCCAGGATGTGGAAGCAGATGAGGGTTTCCTGTGTGACATCCTGTCTCCTTCAATACTTTTAACAGAGCATCCCTTATGTGTTATTGTGCAGTGAAATTGGATCTTTTTGACAAAGTGAAACCAAAAATTTAGTAAAGCCTTCAGATGCTTTTAGTGCCTGAGAAAAAATTCTTCTCAGAAGGGAAACTTCCACATCTGAGTTATATTGCTCCAGGCAAATGTATGACCTCAAGCCAATAACTATTCTAATGATCGCTCCTTCTCACTCAAGATCCCTAATATGTTACTTATCTATCCTGTACCTCACATGTTTCCACACAGAGATCACTTGAGGCACAATTATTTTGTAAATAATAAATGGACACCATTCATTTTGCCTCTTAAGTGTTAATAATGTAAACAAATGATATTCCAAATCCTTTGCCATTGCCATGAAAGACAAAGGATTGAACCAAAGGGTTGACTGCACCCACACTGAAAAATGCTGGAGGTTTCATAACCACTCAGCTGGCCTACAAACTGCTTCAAAGCTTGTTTCTTCTTACCTTTCATTTATTTCTTTCTCCTCTGAGCTGGAGAGTTTAGTCTGTTAGTGTGTGTCCTGGTATGCATTTTCCATTATAGGAAAATGTGAGTGTGATTCAAGTTAAATACACCTGAGGAGAATGCGTCTGCCTCAACTAAAAGCTTGATATGAAATTTTGAATAGGGATCCAATTATTAGTCTATTAGGTATTGTCTTATTCTCTCTGTGAAGGAAATTATTAAATATACCTCTACCCAAAGTGCAAGAGAGAAACACTGCCAGACTCAAAGTAACTGAACGTGGACCCTTTGGGCACTGAATTCTATGTCTCTCTGAAATAGTCACTATTTTTAAACAAATAAAGAACCAAGAACTCAAAGATTGATGGATATTGATGAAATGGTTATCAATGCATACGTAATTTCCACCCTTATTCATAAATTTCACAGTTAAAGTTCAGAGAGGCAATATTTAGTCATTCTTGAAAATTCACTTATCTAACAAACACAGTATTAAGTTTCTACTGTGTGCCATACCGGTAATGCAGTATAAAGCTAGCTTTTTATGACTTGACTTTCGAACAAAAATTTCTATTATAGTTCTTTTTATACCTCTAACACAGTATTTTCTCTGATTATCTTAATGAGTCAGAGTTGAAAGACTTTGGTTTGTTAAAATATACATAATCTTGCAACATAAATGCAAAATAATTAAAATATATAATCATTTTTTTACATAAAATTGTCCATGCATGAATCTCTAAAACTTTCTCTCAATAGTATAATAGTATAACTTACCTGAGCTGAATATTTTGAAAATGTTAGATGGAAAACTGGGTTCTCATACTGACCCTGTTTGGCTACTCTGGGTACATTAGGAGAAGTCAAAAAAGGTGAATAATTGTATAAAATTTGCCTATGAGTATACATCTTTATGGTAAAGGAGAAAGCACAATGAACAGGAAACAAAAAAGCTAAGGTTCTGAACCACTAAACACATCGTCTAAAAAGTGGAGGGTTTCATAGACAATCTGTGGAGAGAAAGTTCCAGAATTTGTTAATTCTGACTACGAATAACATTTTATATGATATTATTTTGTATTTTGTATGATATTTTATTCCTGTTATTGCCTGAGTAGTCTATATTTTCAAAGTATATAATACTAGTATTATTTCTCCAGGATTTAATATTTGAAAGACTTCATGGAGTTCTATTATAATTCTTTAGATGCAAAAATTATTTCTGTCGCTTGATATTGCAGACCCTGTCACAAAGCCAGTGGTGCAGAATCATCCTTCCTCCGGGGCTGTGGAATATGTGGGAAATATGACCCTGACATGCCAGGTGGCAGGGGGTACCCGGCTAGTTTACCAGTGGCTAAAAAATGGGAAGCCTGTTCGTACCACTTCCACCTATTCCTTTTCTCCCCAAAACAACACCCTTCACATCGCACCGGTGACCAAGGAAGACATTGGGAATTACAGTTGCCTCGTGAAGAACCCAGTCAGTGAAATGGAAAGTGACATTATTACACCAACCATATTCTGTAAGTTGTTTCAGTTGTTTTTAAATACTAATGACCTTCTATTCTTGCTGAAAAGGTCTCATAGAGTAGGCACAGAGCATATCTAAATCAGATGTCTTGATCATTATTGTCATTCAGCACTAGTTATGATAACATTTCCTAGGCACTGTCTTGTCATAAAATCTGTTAGCACAACCCTTCTCAAAAGTCAAGAATACAATGTGCAGTTCAGTCCAGTGTAGAATCTCATATACAGTGGAAAGCAAAAATCTCCTCCCATGAAGAAGAATGGATGACAAACTGATAGAAAAATGAGCTCTGTCACTGGCACCATGGAAAAAGAGTTTTCCTGAGTTATGCATTGGTCATACACTCAGTACATGACTATTCTCTCTGAACGTTTCCTCAGTTCTATTTTTAGAAGAAAAATTCAGGGAGCATCATCATCAGAGAAAACCAAATTATTCCAGAGTAAGCTCAGGTCCCCAGAAACTGGTCATTATGAGTATTTCTAGATTTCAGTTTTCTTTGGTTTTTTTTTCTGTTGTTATTAGTATTCCTATCTGTTTATTTGGTTCTATTTTTTGGTGTAACTCGTATACAGAATTAAGTTGATCACTCTTCAGTTTATGTCTTATTACCAGCACCAGCCCAAGCTAGGTCCTTCACTCTCCGTGTTGTGTTTTTTTTCCTGTCATTTCTACTCCATAGCATCACCTCTTTTATGTTTAACATTGCATTCATTAGAAATTACCAGCTTAGCACAGATTTCTCAGGTCTCTACACTAGTGACATTTGGGGCTAAGTAACTATTTATTATGGGAACTGCACCATAGAGGTGGGTAGCAGTTTCCCTGACTTTTACTCACTCCAATTGTAACAAGACGTCTCTGGACATTACCACATATCCTTTTAGGGGGAAAATACTCTCCAGTTGAGAACCAATGGCATTCCTATGGCATTAGGAAGTCTTGTTACCAGTTACTATGTAGCTCACAGCATGACTGCAGTGAGAGCTTAATAAAAGTGAGTTGTGGCAAAGAAAACCTGTGATCTCTGTGTATGGTGGCAGAGGTTTCCATTGGCTACACTATAAAAAGGCAATTAAGCTTGTTCCATACCTCCAATCACTCGCCAACGACACGTTCATTATAGAGGCTCTAAAGCACTGCACTCACATGCTTAGTGGGCAGAGAGACTAAAGTGAGAAGTGAACCAGTGTAGTCAGTGCCTGCAGAGCCTTAATTAAATAAATCTCTTAATCACTCAGATCCTTTTCCATAAGGTGGGTAGAGTTAAAACCTCTCACCACTTTGCTATGGCTAAAGGAGTCAAAAATAGCAAATGACTGACACAAAAAAAGCACTTGGTATATGGAGGCCATTTTATCATCAATACATTTATATTCTACTTTCTTCATTAAAGCATTGATACGGAGTTCTTTCGAGGGACTGTGTTATTAGCTCTTTGAAAAAAATTCACCAGCGTATATGAAAAATGCAGCCTTTCCCAACCAGATAACACTGAAGGCTAAAAGAGAGCACCAGCAATAGGGCAGGAAAGGAACCACTGGGAAGAAGACTAGAGCAAAATAATAATACAGATATACATAGATGTTTTGTTCACGCCAGCAAGATGAAGCTAAGAAAACAGAACCACTGAATCCAAAACTGGGCATGAGCCCACGTTTTAGTAGAAGAGAGAGAATATTACATTAAAATATATAAAATACAATGTCATGGATACCATAGGGATCTATGCAAAGCTGCATAGTAGCTAGGAATAGGAACTCTGGGACACAAAGGCTGGAGTTCAAACCTGAGCTGGCCACCTTACCTCTCTATGCCTGTTTCTTCATTTAAATAATGGTGATAATGATATCTTACTTCATAGAATTATTGCAAAAAGCAAACCTATTACTCTATGCAAAGTGCTTCAGATATTGACTGGACTGGCTCATAGTAAGTACTGTATAAATTATTATCACTTTAACATTATTAGCTCATTATTTCTAGAAAAAGTACTGGGGAAAATACTTCTTGCAGAAAGTGATATTTAAGTGGACTTGTAACAGTGGCATTATTTTTGTAACTGGACTGTTGGCTATATATCTTACAATGATTTTGTATAATCTTATATTAAGATAACATCATAGAAGTAGTCTGTCTGCCTTAAAGCATGAGCTTGTGTATAGATTCTCAAAGGAAATATAATCTGACTGTATATACTACACAATTAGCATTGGAGTGAAAAATTCAGATCTGGTGAAATCTGTTTGTATATGTTTTCTTCACTAAAGTTATCCTGACATGAATTAAAACACATGGAAAAGAAAATGTGAACACACTAATTAAATCAAATATAGGACTCGTGAACGTATAATTGTGTTCTGATGATTTAGTTTAAATGTTTGATATTCACATAAAAAGTAAACAAGGTATAAAACAAAACATAAAACAGCCAGATATCACATACTAAATGCTAATCCCAAAGAACAGTTGTTTAATGAGTAAGAGATAACAGAAAATGGCATTGTATCAAGGGATTATTGTTAATTGAAGAAAGCCTGGCCATGTTTGGTTTTGACTGTATGCTATAGCAAACATCATGCATTTTAGGGAGTGCAGTGGATACCATGGTGATTATGAGCACGTTATACACTTGGACAGTCTCGGTATGAGCCCTAACCTACCTTTATTAGTATGTGTAATGTGACTTCCTTTTCTTGTGCATCAGTTCCCTTAGCACCTAATCTGTGAAGTCTCCAGGGTCATGCTAATATCTATCTCAAAAGGAGTAGAGAGGATTAAGTGAGAGTACACTAAGGAATTAGTGTGGGACATATAGCAAGAACTCAATAAATGTTAGACCTTTCTTTTTTTTCTTTTTTCTTTTTTTTTTTTTTTTTTTTTGGTCTTTTTCCTTTTTATCGGTACCAGGGATCGAACTCACGACTGCCTGCTTGCCAGGCAGGCGCTTATGCTGCTGAACTAAATCCCCAGCCCCCTTTCTTTTTTTTTAAACCAAAACTACATTGACAACATGGCAGTGAGAAGATATATAGAAAAGTCTAAGACTTCTAGATACTATAGAAAACACCTGCAAAGAAAAAACTGAGAATTTTTATCTTCCCAAACATTATTCCTTAATTGAATATAGCTTATTTTTGTACAGTAAAACATCTTCTTTACATCAATTTTTTCTTAGACTTTTCTGTTTATGTATTCCAGCACTCACTTACCCACCCACTTACCTACCTACTTTAAAGTCTTGCTATAAATTTACCTGAAAACTTCCTAGGAGAAATCATTAAGCAATAACAGGCATATGAAAATATCATTTTTGAAAGACATTTTTTATTTTGCTACATCGTTCATTTTAATCTCAAATAGTGAGAATTAAATGTTTTTAAACATGTGAAACTCTTTATACCAATCTCATTATCACAGAATATAAAGATACACAGTGTTGCAAATACAAAAATGTGAGAAAAAATCATGATCAGACCTGTAAGTGCTAAATAGCATGCTTTAAACTCTAAAACTGTCTTTGGTTTCCTGTTATTTGAAAGATTAAAATATTCCAGTTTGAATAAGCTCATATTCTATAAAACATATTTTCTACTTACGAAATAAGCCTTTTTCTTTACATTCCTTTAGACATAGTCTATGAAAATTTACCATGAGTATATACTGACAGTAGAAAAGAGGACATTTAGAAAACTCACAAAACCGGGTTCTATTTACACATTGTAAAGACAATTTATTTGTATAGTTAAAAAAATTTTGACCCTATTAGTAATCATGAGTATAGTTTTATTAATTTTACATCTAGGTTTTTTTGTTCAATTACAGAAACATGCACTTAGTCAACATCTCATCAATATTCATTCACTCAGTCATAGTTCGATTTGATTAAAAACATCAGGGTCTTGCTTGTACTAAGAATTATGACCTATTACATAACGTGTAGAAAAACAGCCTGGGCTCCTCAGCTTAATAGTTTTTCTTGCCATCATTATCTCAGCCATGTTTTATTGCTTGTTTTGATTTTATTTTTCTTGCTTCCAAGTGTCAAGAATTAAATAAGTACAAGATTCATCACTTAGCCTGGTCTTCACGTAGCAGGAACCTTTGAGATCTGTATCATCCCATGTAAACTGGGAATTTGTGCCACATCTGAGTGTATCCCTCCCTGCTCTCCCTTCATTTGGCTGTTGCTCTCTTCTGACATCATCTTGTCTGGAAGGCTCACCTGTCCCCACTCCTTCCACTTCCACGCTGTCACTAGCATTTTGCTGTGCTCTGATAACACACTGCACTCCTCTCCTGGCCTCACTGTGTTGTGCTTTCCCTGGTCTTCACAGCATCCAACCCCAGATGAGTTTCGCTTTATACCTGCAGGACCTGCTCATCGTAGTATCTGTAGAGCAACACCTGATTAAGACCAAAATAAGGTTTTAGAGCTTGACTGAAATAGGTTCTCTTTGTGCACACCCTTTCAGATTCCAGAGTAACTTGATGACACTATGAAAAGGTTACATTCCCACTACAAAATAACAGCTTCATTATTGCAGTGCTTCCCGGATCCCTTTTTTTCCCCTGACCTTTAGCAAAGTTCTTCAATAATCAGGTAAATGTCATATTCTAATGTTCCCCATAGAAGTCCACATTGTAATTTAGAATTCCAGTATGAATAAACCATTTTATTATCTAAAAACACTGTTTCCATGACAGTTTTCTTCATGAAAGCAGAAACTGTTTCATATTTTGACAGAAGAAAAAGTTCTAACAAAAGCTAGCAAGATTGATTGTATATTTATGAGGTTATGATATCATAAACTGATACTAGCCTCAGTGGAATACAATGTCAAGTCGCTAATTCAGACAGATATATACTTGCAGTTCAAAAAATGTATATGCCTTCCAGCTCCAGCTGCGAATAATAACTGAATAGCCACTATATTTTGTTTGTAACATATGGCACTGCTGCAAGGGAGTACTCTCAGTGATAAAAATTAA